CTTCAAAATTGATAGGAACACTTGTCCATCCCCTTTCAAGGTAATAGACTTTATCATGCATGCATAATTCTCTGGTTCTGTATTGGGTTCGGTACTAGTATTACTGATAAAAAATGTTAATGATAATCAAGCAAATGGCAAAGTAAAAGCCCAATATTCTATTTTTAGGTTTTAGATTACTTAGGATTGCATATTTTGTGGAGCAGATCAATTACTCTTGCCAAAGTACTGAGCCATCATTTCCACTTGGAATATAACAATTATGACCCTGTTGAATTTTACAACTTGCTAAAGCAAATTTGTGATAAGTAACTTAGATAATTCTCCTATTAGCACAAAAATCCAACCCTCGAATCTAAAGATTCATAAGAATTCATAAAAATAAATATACCCTCGATGGATCGAATATAATATTAAGATTGGTGGAAGAGTTAGTTGCTATGTCTTCTAGTACGTGAGGATATCTATTTTGTTCATGTTCATATTTATATTCCCACTTAAGTCTTTTATTTTACCATTTGCAGGTCTCTTGCAATAATTTTTTTATAGCTGATGTTTCCTTTAACGTAGCTTCTTCTTTCTGCTTATTGATCAGATTACTTATGTCTATCGTAGAAGTTAGTGATAGGATAAAGTTTTGTAGTATATTAACTAATAACTGGAGAAATCAAAAGCAATACTATTCAACAAGCTATTTCACGAAGTGAGAAGCCAATGTCCTACTCAAGACAAATAGCATATACTTTCATGAAAAGAATGTGGGAATGTAATTGGTAAGAGTATGTATACGACGGTTACTCAATAACCTCCTGCTAATTTCTGGTGTGATCTATCCAATCAGAATAATTAAAAAACTGAAAAATTATTAACTAATCAGATCATGTCGGGATCAATATAGAAGTTCATGGAACATACATAACTGAGTGATAGAAAGATAGCTAGTTTATTAATAATGTGTCATTCTATATCTAGATCATTACATAATTTATTTTGAGAATGTACAACTCGATACTCAATCATATTCCATGCATCATATTAAGAGCAAAGCTCATATCAAGGCATAGAAAAATCAACTTATAAACTTTTTTACCCCAATACAAGACACACCACATGAAAATATTGACATAATATATAATATTCTCAACTCAAATTCTTTATTAGCAAAGCCATGACCGATACAATAAAAATACATGTTAATTTATACAATATCTCCATACTTACCTATTATTGGGTGGAAACCTAATGATAGAGAGATTCACTATCTTTTTTAATATCTGGATTGGTAAGATCTTATTATGGTAATCGTGGTATTACTAACTCACCATCATAAAGAGGCATATCTTCTTGAACTTGTGGTAAATAAAAAGCTATGTTATATAAGAACGCATTGACTTTTTCTACAATCTTAGTAAGGATGTGAATATGATTTCATAGAGACACCTATAAATAATTCTATTAATTAACCAGAAGTTTGTTTATCCAACTTCCCATATTCGATAGTCTTACCCTTAACTTTTATAATTCATCCATAAATCTGGCAAGTAAAGATTGGTCTCGATTCATAGAAATTTGTACTGAACCAAGATGTTGAACAAAGTAAAAGGCTTCAAATAACATAGTCATAATCCAACATGCCATGATTCCTCCTAAAGTAGAAATGGTTAGTTTTGAGTGAAAAAAAAATAATTATGATATTACATATCAGTAACTAAGATACTAAAAACTGGCATTTTGTTAAGATCTTCTTCTATTTTCTTTACGTCCCTAACCCTTTCTCTAGTGAGTTTCCTCAGTAATCACACATGAATATCTTTCATAAGCTTGATCAACTTATCCTAATCATCACAGATCTTTTTATCAGTTGGAAGAACACGTGAGGCCTCTATAAGACAGATTTCCACTTCACTGGCAATCAGTGGAGATTTCACATGAAAATTGGGCTTGTGTCCAATTCTGATTTCTCTAGAATCATCCATCTGATGTTAAGATATCTCCGAGACTTCTTCAGCCCTGTTATGATATATGTAAAACTTGTCATAGTTATTATGTGACCACCTCTGGTAAAAATTCATATTTTACACATTATCTAAAACTTTATCAGATGATTTTAAGTTTAGTATTTTCATAGCAAAACAGTGGATCAAGAAAGTTGGACACTATGTGGATGATATATGTTCTCTCAGTATATTTAGTCTTGTTTTCATCATTAAAGTAGCACTAGATATGTCAGTTATAAGAATAAGAGTATTGGAAATTGGTTAATTATCAAGACAGAGAAGCTCAATTACCTACACTGAGTCTATGATCTTATGCATCACACATATATCTTCAAACTTCTCATCATTTTCTTAGAAATCTGCTAGTATAGGTGGGAGTGAAACCATCATTTCCCTTTTATTCAAGCTCTTTGATTTTTCTAAAAGGACTTTAATCAAGTTAGAAATAACGGGGCTTGTTTCATATTGATCATATGCTAAATTTATAATTTCTCTCAAATTCTTCTTTTGTTCTTCTGGCAACTTTCCAAAAATTATGTCTGAGTTTCAATCAATAATACAACTAAAGCTGAGTGGATCATTCCATTCAATATTGCTGGCATCGAAGGATTTAAAGAGGTCCCTCAACTCATATAATAGTAATGAACAGGATGTCTCATTTCAGATTAAATCATTCTACAAAAGTATCGAATAAGAACAAGCAAAAAAAAAATCATAAATCCCATAATATGAATGCGTTACCAATCATTTTCAAATTTTTTTCTTGTTTGAAAAGACAAGATTCTTCTCTGTTGGACTTACAAATTTAAGAGAAATCTGAAATGTATAAAATATGTTAGTATTGATAATAAGTTTTTCTAAAACAGAATTATAGTAGTTTAGTTAACCATTGATTCTATAATCTCTACTATTGATATATATTGCATTCTTTGCTTGTTCTATAAAAATAGAGGAGTTAATATACGAAAATTTTATATTCTGCTTATTATTCAACACTCTTATTTAATCAGATCTCTAATTTCTTCTTATACCACGAATAACTATCAGGACCCAAATCTCAGATGTGAGGAGGTGGTATGAAATTAATTCTCAGAATAGATGGAATATTATCATATAAAATACTATAGATGGGATAAAAAACAATACATACATCAGGAATCTTGAAAAATCCTTCATAAGCATCTTGTAGAATACTACTAGATTTGGTGAAATAATGTAAAACTTTCTCACAAGCCAGCTTATATATTTAAAACATATCACTCATAGAACCATATCACTTACTATTTGCATTAATTGTATAATCAAACCATGAAGCGAAGCGTACTTTTTTGACTTTGTCACAATTATTCTCCAAATATTCAACACCAAAATTCTTCCAACCAAGATATTTATAATTCTGTTCCATTTCTGTACAAAGTTTAGCAAATATGAAATTGGGATAAAAACAATTATAAATGAAGACAAAACTATACTCTCCTTCTAAAAGCATCTGCATTTTTTTCTTTCTGAAAATGTTCTTTACAAAGAAAATATTCAAATCTGGTCTTTTGTGTTAGTTAGAAGATTACACAATTACATCATGCATGAAAAGTTCCATGACTTTTGATTTTATTCTGTGATATAGCATGTGATGTGTTGATCAAACATCTGTATTACGCAATCAATCAGTACTCCAACAATTAGCAAGTCATGCATTAACTCTAGTAAAAGTGATCGGCAAATCCGGGAGATACTTTTTGGTACTTCCGTTATTAAAGAACGCAGATCGAAGGCGAGTCTATTATAAAAAGAAATTAATTAGGTTAGTTAAAAGATCAATTGATTTGTAATAATTGTTGAAGTTGGTGATACGAGTAACAGATGTCCGATTATTAATGTCAATAAGGTAAGAGTAGACAATTATTGATCTAATTGACAGGTAAAGCGTGGGGGTATCTATGACTCTTATTTGAAAAAATGTACCTGAGTCGTCCCTATAGGCCTGCTTTGTAATAAAAAGTTCTGGCAATTTCTCGTCCTTTCCCGTCCAAGTCTATAAATAAATTCTGATCTGTGATTTTTTTTTATAAAAAGGCGGAGAAAGATACTTGCGATACCCTTTACCCCCTCACGTTAATAATTAACGAATTAAGGGAATAAAACATTTAACGAATTTTAATAAATCTTACCCACGATAAATAAAAAGATTCATACACTCGAAATAATATCTAATTTCTAACGATTAAGGTTTGTTTATTTGTTTATACGCTATGACACTTCCCCCACATTCGTGTATATATGCTAATAGACCGATTTCCACTTATAGATGTCATCGCTTGCTGTTTCGGGAATCGCTCCATTTTTGGATTTCGCCGGCCTATTGTTGTTCATCGAGAAAATTTCCATTTACTTGTTCATTGGTGGCACGTTTTATTTTTCACGTATCACAAGCAAGACATTGACGCCAAGCATAATTCCGAACTTGACACCCGTGATACTGCACGTGATACTATGTTTAATGAAATTCTTGCCAACCGTGATGCCCGAATCGCCACCGAGCTTACCAATCGTGATGCCAGATTCATAACCGAACTCATCGATTACCGTGTCAAATTTAATGCTGAACTTACCTCACGTGACGAAAAATTTACAGCAGAGGTCCAAAGAATCTTTACAATGTTTAATACTTCTACTGCAAGACTTGATGAGATCGAACGAGTCCTTCAAAACCAGAGAATTATGCATGCATGATAAAGTCTATTACCTTGAAAGGGGATGGACAAGTGTTCCTATCAATTTTGAAG